GGCACTTCAGACTCGACGGTGGTTAGTGATCACAATCATCTGCTGGAGGCCAATCCATCCTCCCCGAGTGCTATCGCTACCTGTTCGACACATACGTTCCTAAACAGTAGTTCTGAGGAGGAGGAGGAGGAAGAGGAGGAAGAGAGTGACGATGGTGTGGAATTCCTCCAGCGCTCTGTCGTCATCCCTCCCGCTGATCTGAGTGCTCAACTGAAGGAGAATATCGAACAAACGACGCGTCACAAGGGCGTGCCAATGTACATTCTTACCTCCAAACTTGACTCAGATGACGACCAGCTACTTATGGACCCTCAAGACGCGTTGGGAGACGGGGAGGGGGATGAGGAGGCGGACACTTCTGCGTCGTCCTCCTCCGACGAAGCTCTCCCCCCGATTTCTGATCGCCACGCCAAACAGATAGCAGCATTGGAAACCCGTCTTTCCCAACTGGAGAGGGAGATGCAGGAGTTGGAGGTGCAAGGGATGGCAAAGGAGCGTGCTCTAAGGGAGTTGGAGGAGACCACGGGACAGTCAGGAGAGCATTCCATGACCCAGATCTCGTCCACCAGTGCGCCAGACCTCTCGGCGACCACGAATCGGTCATCACAACGGGAGGTGAATTCACGACGGAGGTGGATGCGGCCTAAGCGATCCGTCCATAGACAGAGCAGTGGTACAACGGCCTCACGTCCACCCGCGTTGGAGCAAGAGATGGCTGAGCGTTCGAAGAGGGAGAGGCTCCTCACAGAACTGCTAGCAGTGATTTCGCAGCGCAACAAGCTGGTTACCCAGGAGGCTGTCATCATGGCGGAGTTGAAGAAGATCGAGTTGGAGGCCTACGAGGCGACTCTACAGCAGGCCTATGACTCCCTGCGACAACCCGACAATGAGTCGATCCAAGGACGGTTCAAAGTGGGTGCCCTCCGACGCCATGGTATGGGTTGGTTGAGGAAGGAGCGTATCTTTCCAACAAATCGTGAGCCGGCGCGGGAGAACAGGGAGCAACTGTTGCTCAATGAGATTTGGAACATCTCCAAGGAGAAGAGTGTGCTAGCTGCTGTTCAGAGTGAGGCCTTGCGACGGTAAGCTTACACCCCACCTTGCTTTTGAGTGCCTTTGCTGTGCTTCTTTTTTTGCATCAAATGACTGCAAGTGTTGGCTCAGTGTGTGGTGGAGATGGGTGCAATCACTTGAGGTGACTTGCGCAGACCTGTAATATGCGATCGTTTGTGAGCATTCATAAGGCAGAGCTTTGTGTCAGTCTATCGGTACTTTTTATTGCACTCTGCACCACTTCCTGCCCATTCTGCACGTCTCCTATTTGGTAAAATCACAGTTAGAGATGCCTGATGGACGCGATTGGCTTTCCTGGCTGCAGGAAATAGCCTCTCGACAAGTGTTTGTGGAATTTGGAGAAGGTGCAACAGCAGGAGACGCCAGTCAGAAGTGGCATCAACAACTTGGTTTGGGTTATGAATCACTCCGAGGCCCTCCATTCTTGATGGTGAAGAATTATGTGTCGCTAATGTAACTATTCTTTGGGATGGACATGTTAGGAATGGCATTTGGTATGCTTAACATGAGTGCTGAAATGATGAATCGTTGGCACGTACATGGGGTAGGAAGTGAGGGCAGTGGAAGGTAAGCAAATTGGTCCCGCGCACATGCGTTGGTGGATGACAGGCAGGAGCATTCACTTATTCACTCTGGCTTGTTTGCTCACTGGTCTGTGATGCGATGTGGTTTTTGTACGCCAAGAGGAGGAAGAGAGTGACGATGGTGTGGAATTCCTCCAGCGCTCTGTCGTCATCCCTCCCGCTGATCTGAGTGCTCAACTGAAGGAGAATATCGAACAAACGACGCGTCACAAGGGCGTGCCAATGTACATTCTTACCTCCAAACTTGACTCAGATGACGACCAGCTACTTATGGACCCTCAAGACGCGTTGGGAGACGGGGAGGGGGATGAGGAGGCGGACACTTCTGCGTCGTCCTCCTCCGACGAAGCTCTCCCCCCGATTTCTGATCGCCACGCCAAACAGATAGCAGCATTGGAAACCCGTCTTTCCCAACTGGAGAGGGAGATGCAGGAGTTGGAGGTGCAAGGGATGGCAAAGGAGCGTGCTCTAAGGGAGTTGGAGGAGACCACGGGACAGTCAGGAGAGCATTCCATGACCCAGATCTCGTCCACCAGTGCGCCAGACCTCTCGGCGACCACGAATCGGTCATCACAACGGGAGGTGAATTCACGACGGAGGTGGATGCGGCCTAAGCGATCCGTCCATAGACAGAGCAGTGGTACAACGGCCTCACGTCCACCCGCGTTGGAGCAAGAGATGGCTGAGCGTTCGAAGAGGGAGAGGCTCCTCACAGAACTGCTAGCAGTGATTTCGCAGCGCAACAAGCTGGTTACCCAGGAGGCTGTCATCATGGCGGAGTTGAAGAAGATCGAGTTGGAGGCCTACGAGGCGACTCTACAGCAGGCCTATGACTCCCTGCGACAACCCGACAATGAGTCGATCCAAGGACGGTTCAAAGTGGGTGCCCTCCGACGCCATGGTATGGGTTGGTTGAGGAAGGAGCGTATCTTTCCAACAAATCGTGAGCCGGCGCGGGAGAACAGGGAGCAACTGTTGCTCAATGAGATTTGGAACATCTCCAAGGAGAAGAGTGTGCTAGCTGCTGTTCAGAGTGAGGCCTTGCGACGGTAAGCTTACACCCCACCTTGCTTTTGAGTGCCTTTGCTGTGCTTCTTTTTTTGCATCAAATGACTGCAAGTGTTGGCTCAGTGTGTGGTGGAGATGGGTGCAATCACTTGAGGTGACTTGCGCAGACCTGTAATATGCGATCGTTTGTGAGCATTCATAAGGCAGAGCTTTGTGTCAGTCTATCGGTACTTTTTATTGCACTCTGCACCACTTCCTGCCCATTCTGCACGTCTCCTATTTGGTAAAATCACAGTTAGAGATGCCTGATGGACGCGATTGGCTTTCCTGGCTGCAGGAAATAGCCTCTCGACAAGTGTTTGTGGAATTTGGAGAAGGTGCAACAGCAGGAGACGCCAGTCAGAAGTGGCATCAACAACTTGGTTTGGGTTATGAATCACTCCGAGGCCCTCCATTCTTGATGGTGAAGAATTATGTGTCGCTAATGTAACTATTCTTTGGGATGGACATGTTAGGAATGGCATTTGGTATGCTTAACATGAGTGCTGAAATGATGAATCGTTGGCACGTACATGGGGTAGGAAGTGAGGGCAGTGGAAGGTAAGCAAATTGGTCCCGCGCACATGCGTTGGTGGATGACAGGCAGGAGCATTCACTTATTCACTCTGGCTTGTTTGCTCACTGGTCTGTGATGCGATGTGGTTTTTGTACGCC